TCCCACATTGTCTTGTTCCCCACATTGTCTTGTTCCCCACATTGTCTCGCTCCCTACATTGTTCGGTTCCCCACATTGTCCTCTTCTCTAAATTGTCCCGTTCCCCATATTGTCCCATCCCCACGTTGTCCTGTTCCCCACATTGTCCTCTTCTCTAAATTGTCCCGTTCCCCACATTGTCCCGTTCCCCACGTTGTCCCGTTCCCCACGTTGCCCCGTTCCCCAAATTGTCCCCTCCTCCAAATTGTCCAGTTCCCCAAATTGTCCCCTTCTCCAAATTTTCCAGTTCCCCAAATTGTCCAGTTCTCCAAATTGTCCAGTTCTCCAAATTGTCCAGTTCCCTAAATTGTCCCCAACCCCAAATTGTCCAGTTTCCCAAATTGTCCAGTTCCCCAAATTGTCCAGTTCTCCAAATTGTCCAGTTCCCTAAATTGTCCCCAACCCCAAATTGTCCAGTTCCCCAAATTGTCCAGTTCCCCAAATTGTCCAGTTCTCCAAATTGTCCAGTTCCCCAAATTGTCCCCTTCCCCAAATTGTCCAGTTTCCCAAATTGTCCAGTTCCCTAAATTGTCCAGTTCCCCAATTTCTCCACTTCCCCAAATTGTCCCCTTCCCCAAATTCCACACAGACCTACACCTTCTCCAAAACCCCTAAAAAACCACCTCGAAAAACATCATTTCCCGACCTACCTACGAAGCGAAATCGATCGATAAGAGGCTCGACGCGTAATTATCTCTCGGCCGATATTAACATATCAAAGAAACTAACGATAAACAGATGGAAGTTTTCGAAACGAGACAAGGACACCGGGAGCAAAGTGTTATCGTTTGAACCTCGACCCGATAACGCAATTTCCCTATTTGCTCTGTCAGATAGTAGACGGAACATGTCAGATAAAAAAGATGGCCGACCAATTTTCTATGCATGCATAACACACAGCGGAAGTTTTCCAGATTACGTTTACCCGAGATATCGACCCTTACGTCGCGTCCCACGATTTTCCTACCATTTCGTACGCTCTCCATTCACCTCGCTCTGGATATTCATTCAATACGTGGATCATTTCAATTTCTCCCGGTACACGCTCCGTTAATGCTCGGTTACGTACGTTATCTCGCAGCTGTGTCAAACGATAATCGTGTTTTTTATAGCGCTTGATAAACGTCAGAGTTGATCGTGACATCGTTTGTTTCGCAGAAATCTCGTTGATGATAGTAATGGGGGAAACTTAACCTTAAACGCGTAACCTGATTGATAAGTTTCAAGGCGGAGGAGTTGGGGGAATTCGGAGGAAGCCTTATTCGGGGACTTAAGTGGGATTTCTTTTAAACTAGGTTTAGTTAACCTAGCAATGGAAGTACTTTCCATAGCAAGTGGTCCAATTTGACCCTAAACATAATCTGTATACAAATTTCTGGGCAATGAAAGATATTTTAGGAGCTGGAGATCAATAGTGTCCTCATATGACAAATTCAAATATCGATTTTACATATTTTCCTGGACATTCAGAACCAACTGCAAAATCAGAGCATAAAGAAATTCTAAGAAGATAAAAATAATATATTTAAAAATGCAGATGTATGCAGAAATGAATATTAAAGGCATTTTAACTGTGCAACCCGTGACACTTGTAGCGCCGTCCCTGAATAGAAATCTTTTTTTCCTGAACGAAAATAAAAAAGAAAATTGTCTGTTCAACGTTGCATGAGAAAAAGCTGAACGCAGCGGATTTAAACACGCGATCGGCCACGTGAATATTTAGCAAACAAACACGGTTGCTGATAGCTGCTGGTATCATTCTTCGTGGAACGGATTACGTTTCTTTCGATCGAACGTGGGATTCCATAAACTTCTGCAAATAGATTGTATTAGCTATGGAGTTATCTAACGGCAGCTAATATCTATTGCAGTATATAGGGATATTAAGTTTTGAAGGAGCAAGGTCTAGGGATCCCTATATACACTGTCATTACTGCAAGTGGTGTATAGGGATATTAAGTTTTGGAGGAGCATTTAAGATCTAGGGATCTTTATGTTTACTGACATTACTGCAAGTGGAGTATAGGGATATTAAGTTTTGGAGGAGTAGTCAAGGTCTAGGGATCTTTATATATACTGACATTACTGCAAGTGGAGTATAGGGATATTAAGTTTTGGAGGAGTAGTCAAGGTCTAGGGATCCCTATATGCACTGTCATTACTCTAAGTGGAGTATAAGGATATTAAGTTTTGGAGGAGCATTCGAGATCTAGGGATCTCTATATGCACTGTCATTACTGCAGGTGGAGTATAGGGATATTAAGTTTTGGAGGAATACTCAAGATCTAGGGATCCCTATATTTACTGACATTACTGCAAGTGGAGTATAGGGATATTAAGTTTTGGAGGAGCATTCGAGATCTAGGGATCTCTATATGCACTGTCATTACTGCAAGTGGTGTATAGGGATATTAAGTTTTGGAGGAGCATTAGAGATCTAGGGATCCCTATATGCACTGTTATTACTGTAAGCAGTATTACTAGGGATATTAAACTTCTAAGGAGTAGTCAAAATCTAGGGATCCCTATATGCACTGTTATTACTGTAAGCAGTATTACTATGAATATTAAACTTGTAAGGAGTAGTCAAGATCTAGGGATCCCTATATGCTCTCTTATTACTATAAGCAGTATTATAGAGACATTAAACTTCTGATGAGTATTTAAGATCTAAAGATCCCTATATCTACTACCACAGCTGCAAACATTGTATAAGGATTTTGAACTCTGAAGAAGCATTTAAGATCTAGGTATCCCTATGCAATCTCTATATGCACTGTTATTACTACAAGAAATATTATGAAGATATTAAACCTCTGAGGAGTATTCAAGATCTAGGGATCCCTATATGCTCTCTTATTACTATAAGCAGTATTATAGAGACATTAAACTTCTGATGAGTATTTAAGATCTAAAGATCCCTATATCTACTACCACAGCTGCAGTGTATAAGGATTTTGAACTTTGAAGAAGCATTTAATATCTAGGGATCCCTATGCAATCTCGATATGCACTGTTATTACTACAAGAAATATTATGAAGATATTAACCTTCTAAGGAGTAGTCAAGATCTAGGTATCTCTATATGCTCTCTTATTACAAGCACTATCATAAAGCTACGACTCCAAAGTTTCTACCTATTCAAAATCTAGGGATCTCCAGAAACAGAGACCTACCTCAGCAACAAAATATAAAAGACAAACTTAAAAAATTAATAAAATTCAAACCAAGAAAATAACATAGTAACTTTTGTAACTAAGTTCCTCCACCATTTTCACGTCCTTGCACCATGCCCTTGCCCTATTGTTGCACGCACAATTAATAGTCTAATCTTAGTTTTGATCCACGTTGGCGAACGAGTTCGTTGACATGAATAACCCATGAAGGCGAGGTGAAGATGAATGTTACCAGAACAATGCAATCAGAGTCACGCGCATACACACGTTTTCCACAGAAATTATTCATCGATTGTACAGAATTTTTACATCGAATTTAAATACGTAGACTTCAAGGACACAAGCAAGAAAGTGCAAATCAAGTTTCCTACGTTCGCATAATCTTGTTTGTTCATTTGCATTCGTTAACTGAACTCGATCGACGCAAATAATACCGACACCTTAAACTATATACTTTAAAAATTACACAGTGACTCAGACGTACAAAAACAGTCATCCGTAGACACCGATTGTTCATTTATCGATGTTGAAGAATCGAAATGAATGAAAATGTGACAATGAAAAATATTTTTGAAACCTTGACACGCACCTTCACGAAACACTAGGTCTTTGAACCTCTTACTTCAGCTTTCACAGGTGTTAATATAACCGATATCCAGAATTCGATGATTATTTTGATTCACAGAAGTCGCGTATCAGTGTTCGTCGAGTCCCGTATCCGTACTGAGACTATCGAATAATTTCGAACTGTGTCACGTTTTCCTGTGAACCTGACCGAGTCATTAATTCAGTATACACACATCTTTGTGTATGGAAACAATGAACCATTTGAATTTGTGTATCTATAGATACTATACAGTAGGTTGATTAGTCGCTACGTCGGGTCAATTGTGACCCGGATCGGAGGCCTCTATGACGATTAAAAATTGGATGATTCGTTCCTGGAAATGCTGTGGGGAATTGGGGGATTTAGGGATTTGGGAGGTTGGGAGGTTGGGGGTTTGGGAAGTTGGGGGTTTGGGAAATTGGGAGCTTGGAAATTTGGGAGCTTGGGAATTTGGAAGCTTGGGAATTTGGGGGTTTGGAAATTTGGGAGCTAGGGAATTTGGGAGGTTGGGAATTTGGGAGCTTGGGAATTTGGGAGCTTGGGAATTTGGGAGCTTTGGAATTTGGGCGCTTGGGAATTCGGACGCTTGGGAATTTGGGAGCTTGGGAATTTGAAACTTTGGAGATTTGGGAGCGTGGAAATTTGGAAGCTTGGAAGTTCGCTTTGGAATTTGGGCGCTTGGGAATTCGGACGCTTGGGAATTTGGGAGCTTGGGAATTTGGGAGCTTTGGAATTTGGGCGCTTGGGAATTCGGAAGCTTGGGAATTTGGGAGCTTGGGAATTTGGGAGCTTTGGAATTCAGGCGCTTGGAAATTCGGGCGCTTGGGAATTTGAAAGTTTAGAAATTTGGGAGCTTAGAAATTTGCAAGCTTGGAAATTTGATAGCTTAGGAATTTGAGAGCTTGAAAATTTATAAGCCTGCGACTTTGATAACTTGTAAAAATCACTAATTAATTTAAAATCTTCAGTTCCAACACTAGCGAAGTATCTCTCACAAAACCATTCCCTCCAAAAGCATCCCAATTAATCACCCACCCGGTATACGAAACTCCCCCAAAAAATAAGCACCCGATATATGGCCCTCCCACGAGTCCCTATCCATCAAAGCCCCTTCACACGTGAAAGTATAACAAAAAGCAATCACGTGTTCGAATTTTTTTGAAATTCCACAGACTTACCTAAGCGCAGCTCGTTGAAAGACATGGCGCTGAAGCGAACTCGCTGGCCACACTGACTCGAACCGGTTCGGAAGATCGAGAGGGAAAAGCCGCGTCGGAGGAGCCGTATGCACCGTTGCTCGTCTCGATTGTTTGTGAACGAGTACGATCGTACGCACTTTTATCGCGACGGCACGTGGTCTCCTGCGTTTGATTCAACGTCCAGCGTTCTCTATACACGTTGGCTACCCACCTCCCTCGGCTTCTCCTTCTCCTTTTCCCTGTCCTTCCCCTCTATCTACCGTTTATTTTCGATTCCTGCACCGCCGTGGCGGCGTTTATTTTTACATCGTGCAACAAACTCGACCCCGTTCGTTCAATGTAAACAATACTCGTTGCTTGCATTTTCTGTGATACCGATGATAAATCGCTTGGAGAATCAATTTTAGATGAGTGATTTTTTTAGCGAAGTGGTGCGGAGGATGATTAATTGGAATTAAAAAAATGTAATGCACAACCCCTAGGATGTGGTGGAACCTAGAAGGGGAACCTCTGTGCGCAGAAGTGTCGTGCGTGGTTGAGGACTGCGCAGGTGTTCTATGTTCAAGGTCATTCGGAGATGCTTCTTTTTGAAATGTATTGTTAACCTTAATTTATATGTACTTCTATTAAAGATAATTTAATCGTTAATTTGGTCTTGTTCATCTTTATCTGCATATCAATTGCTGTTATTTATTGTAACCTATTTAGTTGGCTGCTTGACCTAACCTAGACATAAGCTGCTGGTAATCCTAACCTAGACACAGGCTACTATTAATCCCAACCTAGACACAGGCTACTAGTAAGCTAGCTGTGCAACCTAACCTATTTAGTAGCCTGCTTATCCTAACCTAGACATAAGCTACTATTAATCCTAACCTAGACATAGGCTACTATTAATCCCAAACTAGACACAGGCTACTATTAATCCCAACCTAGACACAGGCTACTAGTAAGCTAGCTGTGCAATCTAACCTATTTAGCAGCCTGCTTATCCTAACTTAGACATAAGCTGCTATTAATCCTAACCTAGATACAAGCTGTTATTAATCCCAACCTAGACACAGGCTACTA